GCAACAGAAATGCTGCCAAAAACACACAGTTATGTCAAGCTGGAAAAATTAGAATACTATACAAATTTACATTTATTTCTGTAATTTAACTACACTGAGAGACCATTTAAAGGCTCAGGAACCTTTACGGGTGTTTCTATTTGCAATTTTAAATTTTAGCTGATTGGGGTCTTGTTAAATATCACACAGTGATATTTTAATAGTCTAGATAAGTGTAATGATCCTGTTAGTAGTTCCTCCTGTTAAGTGCTTATTTATTTAAATTATTCAGGTTTATAAAAAACATTTGGACGTACATTTTATTATGTTCCAGTCATTAGTCATTTATATTTCACTATTGTAGTCATTTAAGTAAGTTTAATTAAGAGGGGAACCCATTTGTCTTGCATTCTTTAATGAAAAAAGTAACAAAGTAGTTATTTTTCTTGGTAATTAGTTACAAGTTAGTTATAATCTCGTAACTCTGTAAGTAACTGGGTTACTTTTTTGACAAAGTAATTAGTAACTATAACTAATTACTTTTAAAAGTAACTTTCCCAACACTGATCCTCACCTAGGACCATGGGTGACCCTACCAGAGGCATAAAGCCTCAGACAACTTAGCTCCTAGTATCACTGGGACACTCAAACCCCTCCATCATGGTAAGGTGCCAGCTCAAAGAGGGGGCAGTTCAGTAAATGATCCTAAAGTGTAAGTTGTGTGCGGTTTGTTCATCCATCCACTAGGGGTTGTATGAACTAGTCGACTTCACTGCTCTGTAGTGACTTTTTGTGCCTGTCATTGACTAGTCGCTGTCACGTGATAATGACCGACAAGATGCAGTCCTCGGAAAAGACAGCAGGTGACGAGCCCCTGCGCGTCGGGAGGCGACGCGCTGTGCCAGAGCGTCGGTACTGACACCCGCCGTAAAACGGACAATTAAACAAATTGTGACCTTTACCCTCTTGCAATTTAACCTTCCCCTCACCCCCATCCTAATCTTAACCAGCTTGCGCATGCAAAGCTCTGATCATTGACGCATTCCAGACATCTGCGTCCTGAGCACGGACGGCCACAGTAACGTTATCAAATCAGGTGTCGCCACCTCAAAAACAAATTTAACACGCGATCGTTCATGTCGGCTCATTTCCTTTTATGTTTTCTGTCTTTTATTTGTGCCTGATGCGTTTCGCTGCTGTGGAGCAAGGCGCATCACCTGTTTTGTCCTCCGGTGACGCACCTCACCAGTGCGGCCGGCGCGCAGCGTGCACTCCGCTGTTTTTGCAGTCAGTGGATCTTTTAGAACTGCAGTTCAAAGGTAACTCATAAGGTGAATATATATGAACCCAGGTAGCAGTTTTTCTTTAGGATTGAGAGGAGATGCAGGAAGATAATAAACAGACAGGACAGAAAAATAGTCAA